CGGCCCGCAGCGAATCAATCTGCTCCGCCACGAGACACCAGCCGTCCTCGGCGCCCGGAGATGCAGACGGGCTGGGTCCCGCGACGACATCTTGCACACCCGCAGCGTCACCTGCCGCCGACCCTTCCGCGCCCTCCGTGTCTGGGACCGCCACCGCTGGAGGAAGGTCTCCGTCGTCATCTGAAAAAGGTGTTGGTTGATTCTTCTTTTTGAGATGCTTTGACATCTCGAACCACTTCTTGCAACAGTGTAATAAAGGACTTCGCCACGCTTCACTTGGTCTCCGTCCACACTTTATTAGGTCAACACCTGCAGCCCGCTAGTCCCAACACCGGACCAGCTGTTCCTCGCGACGCGCCCCGCACACGCTCTTCCATCAGTCTTTCAGCTTCCCTCACTCAGCACACCACTGGCCGACGGTGTGCTGAGCCCGTGCAGCTACGTGGCTGATGGCGCGGAATCCCTCCGGCCACCCAACGTGGTCCCGCTTCTTCACACCAACAACTGACCCGGAGCCCTTCCGGGCTCCCACCTATATCCCCTTCACCACGTGACCCTGTCTCCTCCCTCACACCACGTGCCTTCGAACCTTCCAGATCTCGCCCCTCCATCGCGCCTTGCTGGCTCCGCCCCTAGGTTCCGCCCCCACTCACCTCGCTTCCGATTGGACCCGAGGTAAGTGGGGACCTTCACATACGCCCCCATACTGGCTCTGCCCCTCAATACCCCGGCCCATGTGATTGGCCCAAAGGCCAGCAGCGAACCCCGCTTGCGCTCGCATTACACCTTTATAGGAAGTTCCTCTATCCATTGTAGCAATCCCTGAATTGTCTTGTGACGAAGGCTGCATTCAATCTGTGAGGAGGAGTCCCAACTAAAACAACATACAAAAACAACTGAGGTCTGCATCTTGCAATTGCTACTTCGTTTGAGTCTAGAGGTGTGTTGAACACAAATATGCAGTCCAACATTAATGTGAATAACCTTCAAACATTTCGTTGTGCCTGACTCCTCTTCTGAAATGACTATTTGTCTTCATTCGGCCTCAATCTAGTGGTTACTTTTAATAAATGGTATGGATAATTTTTGCACGTTTTTTATTATCAAGGCCTTGGCTTGTGAGATTTATTACTGTAGCAGTCCCCACTGCATGAATTGTCTTTTCATAGTCTCTGAAAGTTAGTGCGTAATGGTACTTACTATGTGTTTGTCTTGTATATGGTCCGATTGATATTATGGATGTGCTCAATGTTAGGATAACCTTCCCAAGTATATTCTATTTGCCAGCACTTTACGTTTTAATGCAATGTGTGCATTGTCCTAGTGTTACACACCATTAATCTAAGAACTTCCAGTCAGGGCGAGGTAGGCCACACTGACATGGAGCCAAGATGGGACGTGAGACATCCACCTGCATATCCAAGTGCTGCATGGAGAAGGCAGTCCAGCAAGTAAAAAAGAACTCGACACACTCATCAATAACACTACCTTAAATGTAAGCTATGTATGTTTAATTGGTAATGTTGTCGGAAATGACCCTTCCTCATAGCACGTATGTCGCCTATTATTTATGTGTATTTGCCTGAGATGTCACCGATGTATGGATGTTGAACTTATTTCGAACCGTACGTAGCCAACCGTGCTCATCGGAGGTGTGGGGGAAATACAAAAAACTAAACACAAAAGCAGTTCTAAATAAATTAGTTTTCCGTTTAGAATGTCGTGTTTTTGTTGTTATCTTGTGGTTATGCACATCTACAAATACAGTATAACCAATTCAGTTATTTCATTTTGAGTAAAGCTAATAGATTTCTGACCAATCTGTGGTAAATCGTAAGTGCTTCCCTTGGATGGCTGAGCTTTTTCCATGTAATCTGGAATTTTCTGACACTGGAAAATGCAAAAGATAAAAATGTAGAAAACCAAAGCAGAGCTATTCTCGTATCTCGACAGCCTTTCCTAGATACATTAAGTGTAAATAAATTACGGGATCATAAAGCACTTCACATATGGAAATGGCGAGTCTAAGATGCATTATCTTGTAATACTTTACTGCAGTTGTCCACACCTATAAGTGCAAATGTACACACATTACCACATATAAACCTGATTATTCTTATTCTTGTCTGTCTGGTTAATGCTGTGGCTAATTCCAAATTGTCGCCAGTGGCAATAACATTGGATGTTTCCAAAGCCAAAGTAGAATCCAAACGCATAATACACAGCACAGTTAATTGCCTACTTTCGTGTGAGACATACACCTAGAGTGTAAATATTGATTCTGAAGCATTGCAGGCTTTTGAATGGGATTTTCCTTGGCGTGGAAACAACCTACTGCTACGAATGTCAATGCACGTGACTCTGACTATTTTACGTAAAAAACACTGAGTCCCGTCCTGAGGCCCTTCCTATTTTTTCTCCGATCGCATGACATCAAGTTACATCGATACGCTGACGAGACACAGGTGTACACCACTGCGAGGTCGACGAGAATGTGTCGTTTGCTCATCAGGGCTTGACGACACATTTGGCCACGATTGAGTCCTGACATAGCCAACATGGTAGCATGTAGTATAGTACCTACGAAGCACGATTATTGCAATTCGCTTACACTACGGGCCATCTGGCAAAAACATTAGCAAGCTGCAGCATGTCGTGACGAATACTACAAGATCCCACCATGTCCGTCCAGTGCTCGCTGAGCTGCTGGGATTGGAAGAAAGAGGATAACCTGCTAGAAAGGGGGGCACATGATATATAAGGGCCCGAGAGAGAGCTCGGGCACATTGTGGAGTGAAGCCTCTATAAGTATGGACTCTATGTGTTTGCACGTTATCTGCGAATAAACCATGAAGTTGAGCGAAACTCACCTTGTCCGAAGTCATTTTCACTTACAATGACTTTTGGCTAACCATCAAACAAAGATGGTTACTACAACATACGCTTTCAAATGCGCTTCTGCGGCCGTCTGGAATGTTCTTCCTTCCGATATTAGGAAACCACTGGAGCTATGCACTTTTAAATCTAAATTCAAAAACATTTCTTTCGAATTGCTTTTTGTGTTTAGTTTGTTGTCCCCCATACTTCCGATTAGCACGATTGGCTACGTACGGTGCGAAATAAGTTCAAATATATACATATGTAAAGGAGAGATATGCACGGTGCACGCTGTTCGGCGGGTGCATAACAGGTGTGTGCGTTGCAACATAAGGTTTGTACCGACAAACCTCCAGAAATTAAGGGGAGAAGCCGGTGCAACCGAGGTCGAACAGGTGGGTACGCTGTGACCGGAGGTTGGCGTCGAAGAGACGGGAGATGGGGGGTGATGATAAGGGATTAATTGGCCAACAGGCGCCGGGCTGGCGGCAGCTTGAGGGGGAGCATGTGAGGACTCGGAATAAGGGGGGATATATAAGGGGAGTGTGCATTAGTGGAGGGAGTTGTTGTTGCCCGGGAACCAAGAGTGAAGACATCTCGCCGCTGCCGCTCCAGCTGTCAATGGGACCTCAACCCTCATGCCGTCGCCGGGCGGGTGTTGGCTGAACCCCCCGCCCAGGACAAATGGGTGAGCAGGTCTGAGGGAGCATAGGTGAGGGCAGCGGTGGAGATGCAGAGTCGTTGAGTGCGAAGTTTGCTGTGTGCAGAGTCGCTGAGTGCGAAGTTGCTGTGTGCAGAGTCACTGAGTGCGGAGCTGCTGTGTGCAAAGTCGCTGAGTGCGGAGCTGCTGTGTGCAGAGTCGCTGAGTGCGGAACTGCTGTGTGCAGAGTCGCTGAGTGTGGAGGTGCTGTGTGCGGAGTCGCTGAGAGCCGAGTTGCTGAGTGCAGGATAAGTGAGGTGCAGAATAGATAAGAGTGGGGACAAGTCAAGTCTATGTGACCATACAGATAGTCATAGGAGTGCCTACAACTGGCGCAAGAACAGGTGAAAGAAAGTGTAAGCAGGTGACTTGTTACAACGTGTCGGTGTGAATCATTTTTGAAGACACTACACACACAAAGTTATAATATTACTTTATGATAAGTCAACATTGCCGGCCCTGCTATTGTCATCATCATCTGCTATGATCAATCCAGTGCTGGATGTCGGCCTTACAAAACCGTCACCATCTTTCATGTTTCAGCGATATAACAACCCATAGGTAGCTATCTCATTGTCCCATCTCCTGAGCAGACGTCCTCTCGGGGGTGCTTGCTTTCCTTTGGTGGTTTTGACAACTGGCCATCATTCATATGGTCCTGCCATAGGAATGTGGAATTGTTCCTCAATGGTTCAAGACTGTAAACAGATCATGACTACCCCGTTGCATATGTGCTGATACGAGATGTAAAGTGCAAGGGTTTTTTCTCTCATTATAGTCATTACCACTACCTGGTAGGTTTAGGATGGAGCCAGTGTTAAAATAATTTTATTCTGAATGTAGAGCCGCCTATTGTCAATCCACTGTTGGATAGAATCCGCCCCATGCTGTGTTGGTCATGGGAGTTGCTTGCTTTTTCGTTGCTTGCTTTTCAGTTTCATTCAAGAACCCCAAAAACACAACGCAGACATCCACGCAAGAAACACGCATCACGGTCGATTAACAGTTCAGAGCGATGCGCCCTCAAGTAGGGGACCGACTAGAAGCACTTGGGGCTCACTGCCCTCCTACCAACGAGAGGGGCAACGATTGGGAGCAGCAGATTTACAGGGGTGGGGGGGGGGAATGAAGGAAGAAGTGGAAAGCGGACAGCAGGGAGTGATAACAATATGGAACACAATTTTTGTTCCTGGGTAATGTGTTGTTTCGTAATTGCTTATGCCTAAAAAGTATAGAAAATGGCTATTATCCCACAAATTTGCTTTTGTAACCAGGACAGTGTATTTTGAGATGTACCTATTTTCAATGAGAAAACAGGCGAACATGTGTCTTTTCGTTCACATAAATTCAGAAAAAAAAACATATGAATCAAAATTAATATATATTTATACTAAAGTAATACAAACATTACTACAAAAGATTTAGAAGTGAGTAGTTTTTCGAAATTTACGATATAACTGTAAATTCACTTTCATGAATTAGCCCCCAAATATAGTCCCCCATCATGTTCTCGTTATACCGTCCTTGGTAGCAGCGTTGAAAGTACAGTATATCCTGGTGGAAGCGCTCGCCTTTCTCCTCTGAGTACGCTCCCATGTTCTCCTTGAATTTATCAAGATGAGCATCAAGGATATGGACTTTGAGGGACATCATACAGCCCATTGTGCCGTAGTTCTTCACCAAAGTCTCAACCAGCTCCACATAATTTTCGACCTTGTCATTGCCCAAGAAGCCACGAACCACTGCGACAAAGCTGTTCCAAGCCGCTTTCTCCTTACGAGTGAGCTTCTTGGGGAATTCATTGCACTCCAGGATCTTCTTTATCTGTGATCTGACGAAGACACCGGCTTTGACCTTTGCCTCAGACAGCTTAGAGAAGTATTGAAGGTACTTGAAGGCTGCCGACTCCCTATCTACAGCTCTGACAAATTGTTTCATAAGGCCTAATTTTATGTGCAGTGGTGACATCAACACCTTCCGGAGGTCCACCAGTGGCTCCCACTTGACGTTGTTCCTTCCCACAGAAAACTCGGTCCACTGTGGCCAGTCCCACCTGTGGTAGTGCGCCTTGGTGTCCCTGCTGTCCCAAAGGCAAAGATAGCAGGTAAACTTGGTAAAACCGCCTTGGAGACCCATCAGGAATGCCACCATTGAAGTCTCCGTTGACCTCCCAGCCGTACTCATCATACTTCAAAGCGTCCAGCAAGGTCTTGATGCTGTTGTAATCCTCTTTGAGGTGCACCGAGTGAGCCAGGGGAAGAGACGGGTAGTTGTTACCATTATGGAGCGGCACGTCTTTGAGGCTACTGGATGAGCTGTCAATCAAGAGGTGCCACTCATTCTGGTTACAGGCGATTCCGCTTTGCCTCTAACAGACTGGTCACATTGTGGCAGAAGCAGAGCCCATCTTGACGGGTGAAGAAGCTGCCAAAACGTTGGTGACGCTTTCTCTAATCTGCGACTTGCACACTTTTATCCAACAAGTTCCATTGCTTGAGCCTAGACGTCAAAAGCTCGGCATTGGCCTTGGTGATACCAAGATTTTTTATCAAGTCGTTGAGGTCTTTTTGGTTGGGTAGTATGGGTTTCTCTCCTTAGCTCCACCTCTGAAATTGTCATCTGGATCTACAATGTCTTCTTCGCTCTCTGATTTGCTGCTCTCTTCTAAAGACGGCTGCTCTCTCTCTCTCTGGAGGAGTGGGTACAGGGAGCTCATGGCAGTTTGGCACTGGGGCGATGGATGACGGAAGGTCCGGATAAGTGATAGCAGGTGCATTCTTGCCAGTCCGACGTTTGAAAGTGTCCACCATGCAGAAATAGCAGTTGCCTGAGTGGTCAGTGTGTTCCCGCCAAATTATTGGGATAGTGAACTTCATGGCTCTGTTTTCCCCTCTGTACCATCCTACAAAAATAACATAAAAAAATGAAAAACTTTTACAGTTATTTTTTGTTTACAAATTTTATAACGTAAAATTTCGAGCAACAATTGTCCATATTACCTTCCAGCATTGTTTTGCATTGCTCGCAGGTGAAATGAGGTGCCCAGGGATTATCTTTATCCCTGACAGGCATGCCAAAATATGCCTTGTAGGCCTCACACATCTTAGCAGATGCTTCCACAAAGTATTTTTTTCACTCTTGTCTTGATAAATTGGCCACAGACATCGCAAAATGCGTCTGCCGAACGCTTGCAGCCTCTTGATGCCATCTCCGAAAAATGCAGATATGTATCCACTTAGGCAGCTGGAACTAAACTGAACTGGTGGGCTTAAGGCCCCTGTATTTATACTACTATTTATATTACTGGAAAGTTCTAGAATGTTCTAGAAGTTACTCCAAGTTTACTCAGCACTGAATCTATCTGGAATGTTCTGGAAAATAGGTAAATTTCTAAATATCACTGTTCTGGCCACAAAAGCAAAATTTATGGGGAATAATAGCCATTTTTGTACTTTTGAGGCAGAAGCAATAAGGAAATCACACGTACTACCCAGAAACAAAAAAAATTAAACAGTGTAATGTAACTGAACAAAACCGAGTTCATCAATCTTGTTTTTCCCTAGGAGGGTCATAGGGTTTGCCTGACTATACTTCATACCGGTGAATGCAGGTTGGTGAATTGGTGGAGGGGGAGGAGTTGGAAGGGCAAGGCCATCGCATATATCACTCACCGCTAATGTTATAGCCATGGCTAGGAATCCACCTCACGTTTGCCGGATTCAACGTGCGATGCACTCAGCACGACGACATGCATTTATTTTCATCTTAATTTTTTATTATTATATTTTTTTCATTTAACAAGAGCCCAGTACAAAGCACAAACCGTAACAGGGGGAGGTGGGGGAGACACAAAAACTCGGGCGGACAAAAACCAGAGCTCAATGCTCCTCGGTTTAGCAGAGAGGAGAAATTTGGGCTCACTGCCCTCCACCCGGACAGGAGCTATGAGCGAAGAGGAACAAAAGTAAGGGAATAGAAGGGGTGGGAGAGGGGATTTTCATCTTAATTCTTAGAGATATCCCCCCCCCCCCCCATTGGTCATAGACCACAATTCATCAGTGATGATAAACTGCAAAATTAACCGAATACGAATCAGAATATGTTTAATAATGTAAATGCAATTGATTTGCACCTTTGATTTAAAATACTGACACTCGGCATTTAACACAATTCATTTCAGCACAAAGGTTATTGAAATTTGATTTAAGTGCATCCCTGTGGTAAAATGTATGTATTTATGCAATCATCAGTTTGCTACCTTTCAAAAAGATTTTTTACAGATGTAACTGCACGCTTCTGCAATCTGCTTCCCCTCTAATCTACCAATACGCAACAAATGGCATTGTGATTGCTGCTTGCATAAAAATGGAATATACTCGTTCACTAACAAGCTTTTATTGATATAAAGGTCTCCCATCTGCATGATTTGAACATGCTCTCTTATGCTCTTGTTGTGTCGTTGGTGAATTGAGGTATTTGTGAAAGCATTAAGGAATTCATCAAGTTCAATAAAAAAAATATATTTGCAAGTTTACATTCATGCACAAAGGCTTACTCTAGATGGCAGTGTCACCTAGGCATGCACTGCTTTTGCAATGAACCGCCCAACATTGGATATCACAATAAAAGAAAAACATACAATTAAGTTACTTTATTCGAGTGAAAAATTATAGAACAAAAAATCGTGTCCGTTGTACAAAGTAAGAGGTCAAATGTACAAATATTATATATTGATAACAAAATGTTTAGTAGCAATTTTAACTAATGTTAAATTACATTCCATTGTATACCAATTATTATATTGAGACACATAAAGAGTAGTGCACCGATTCGAAAATATTCACGTGTTAGAGATAGAATTGAAACTGTTAACGGTAAGTAAGTATGCTTGAGATGACACTGTTCGAAAGGATAACAACTAAACTATAACATTTGTATTTTACCAGGTAAGCCCTACTGAGCTATATAGTTCTTTGTCAGAAGCGACTTGGCCACAAATGATAGCTCAACGAATGTGGAGGGAAAACCGGAGGATCCGGTAAAATATCTCCATGGAAAACAGGGTCGTGATCGAACCCACGACTTCATGCATACCAGGCGAGGGCGTTAACGCGTCGCCGTGGTCGACGCTCAATAATAATAAAGGAGTGATATCTCAGGAATGGAATGCTTCTGACAGGGCGTCCATTTGATAAAATGAGTTCGTGTGCAGGTGCTCGGTGGATTGTTGCATGGCTGGCCTGTGAAAGATGGTGGTGGTTTGGCGAACCCTTTATCCAGCAGTGAATTGACCTGATGATGATGATGATCATGGTATGCCAATAATTCAAAATACCTTGTTTAAATTGCCCTTAAATATTAGGCCACTGGCAGTTTGCAGTTGCATCACAGTGATCGTATATCCAGAGAGAAATGTGCTTATTTCCTGGCATGAAAATGACTCCGTTTCCTTGCAGATATGGTAAATTTGAAAGCACTTATTTCAATTTATGGAGTCTCTGTTGTTGATATGCTTTTGACAATGTGTTAGTTCTACACCATTCTGAAAAGCCCTGCAAAGGAAACAATTGTTATCCTTCTACCGAGCAAAGTCAAACTTTGTAAAGGGCAAGATCACTTTCATAAATTTGCTACTCACATAATTTAAACAAATTTAAACCTATACACATACATTTCTTGTACGTTATGAATAAATTATATGATCCAAGGTTGAAGGTTTAACTTCCTGACCTGCTGTGGTGGAATGCAGTGATTTAAAATATTGTACCCACAAGCTATCAGTAAATTGACATGCCTGAAAAAAGTTAGAAAAATCTGCAGAATACACAAAAGATTTAAATCATGACAGATGTAGTCTGCAATTCAAGGACAAGAACCTGCAATGCAAATTATTGAAATATTACCATAAAATTATGACATTATCACTTACCTCTCGACATGGAACTAGAAAGTGCCTCGATTTAAATTGGTATGCCACAGTTAACGATGCTCCTGACCAGCATCTACTGAAAGGTCAAAATCTCCCATGCTGATTTGACCTGATTTAGAATTACAAGTGGCAACAGTCCCAATCGGCTCGTAATTGCTGTTAATAAAATCAATCTGGCACATCCAGAGCATTGATTGTGCTTCCTTGATTACCGTACTTTCATTTTTTCCTGCCCTTCCCAGCCACCCATACATCCACTGAAATCCCTTCCAGCTGTGCATCATTGCATTGTTGAAATTGATCAAATTGACAGGCAGAGAGGTCTCAAGACTGCAGGCGAAAGGTGCCACGTCTCCCTCCCCACCCACCCACCCGGCACCTCCTACATTAATTTATATTAAGAGGACTAATAGAGTTATAAAATATGCAGACACAACAGGCCACAATTGTCGACAAAGTGTGTGCATCCATATCCTCACCCCACAGCACTGCAATAATAACTATTGGCCTGGTTTGCTGGGTTTTAATTTATAATCTATACAAGTACTGCTGTGCTGACTCTAAAATGTTTTTTTTTATACTGCAGTGTGCATATCAGAATCATAATATGTATTTATGCTGAAGGAATCCGATGAGCTATGAAGCTCTTTTTCACAGATGTCTAGTACATATTATTTATATGTGTATACCGTGTAAATACATGGACATAAGAGTAGGATAAATGTTATTTTTTGAAAATTACATTAAAAATATATGTAATTTGCACATGTACATACATGCACATTTACATCAAACAATAGTATAGTGCGTGAATTAAATTAACTCCATTTAAATACACACGTATGCTTGCACACATGCGAATCCTTTGACGTGTGTCAGTAACAGGGGTAACCGTTTTGATGAGTAATGTGTCTCAGACAAGAAAAAAACCCACACAGTTGCTTCGCCATTAACACTGCTGCCATTCAGCCCATGCCTGAGCAAATCACACAGAGCTCACCACAACTGTGTGTATTGTATCATTGGAACCTCATTTGCCAGTACAAAATATGATAATTGATTTTTTTACCCTTTTATCTGGCAACAAAACTGACACCTTTTTTACAAGGAGTCATGTTTGCATAGACCACAATACCTGCAGTCATAATGCAAACAAAAAACATAACTCTGATAATGTACGCACTGTCCTTGAAGTTGAGTTGTGCGCCTTTTGGCGTCATCTGATCCAACCCATGTGAGGCTAGGCTCTAAGGAAAGCTGTTTCGGGTGTGGACCAATCAACTTCAAGGACAGTATATACATTATCAGAGTTATGTTTTTGTTTGCATTATGACTGCAGGTATTGTGTGTATTGTCTCGCGCCTGTGCCGTGTAGCTCTCCAATGTGCTTCGCGGTTGTTGCCGCGTGTTGTTCGACGCGATATCCGACGATTCACTCCACACACCATGGAGCTTGTATATATGGGCCGTGGCGTGCGATGTCCTTACGTCGCGGACAGCACCGGGTGGGTTGCTGTGTGATGCCGGCTTTAGCATAGCACGGCGTGCGATGCACCGTCATTGCGTACACCATGGATGGTGTAGTACCAGCCCTAGCGGGGCTTGGTGAGCACTGAGATAGCGTGGGAATCACGCATAGCGTGTAGTGTGGGCTCCCACAAGGGGGAGCGGGAGAGTGTCAGTCCAGGGACAGGGTTGCCCCGAGCCATGGCACTCTGGTTGACACCGTAGACACATGATCTGGAATGTCCACAGAGAAGGCCCCAGATGGGGGGGCTAAGGGGTGATCACGTGTCCGGGGAGAGCTCGCGAGAGGGATAAAGAGGGAGCTAGAACGCTCGAGGAGGTGGGCGGGGCCGAGGGTGGAGCCCTCCCTGACACGGGGGGATATAAGGTGGGTCCCTGAGAGGGACCAGCATCTCTTCGTTCTACAAGCTGGAAGCTTCACGTCTACACGCTGGAAGCTCTTCGTCCTACAAGGCATCAACACGTGGCCGGGACCCAAGTGAGGGTCCGATCCTTTGTAGCTGTAACTCCTACGTACAGTGTAGTTAGCTGGGTGGTCACCACCCTAGGCTGTATCTGGAAAAGGGGCAGTTACCCCTTTGTACATACGTGTTACAATAAAGGTGTTGCCTCTAAATAATAAGGTATGCGACTCAGTTGGACTCACTACATATGTATGTGGTGTTTTGAACAGTTTTTTGCACCGTACGCAGCCAACCAACCACCAAAACAACTAAATTAATGTTAAACACTGCGGAGAATGGGAAACACGATGCACTGATGTTTTGTTTTTTGTGCATTCTGCCCTTGCTTTCACCCACCGTGTGTACAAGGAACGGCTGTGACGCCCATAACTTTAATGTACACCCTTTTTTCCAGCTTCTCCCAACCAACATTTTTCGACCTGGTAATAAGAATTTAAAAGGGGGGCTATACCTTGAGAAGCGTTGGGGGGGGGGG